TATATATATATATATATATATATATATATATATATATCTCAAAGGTTAGCTAAAAGCCAAAAGTAGCAAAATAGCTACAAATAGCAAAAGGCTAGCTGAAAGCTACCCCAGCAAAATGCTAACATGCTAAACATAAAGTAATACGAGGATAACAAAAAGCTAAAAGTTGTAAGAGGTTAGCAAAAAGCTACAAAATAAGATATTAGCTAAAAGTAACTAAATCTATAAGCCAAAAATACCACAATGCTAAAGTAGCAAAACTACATATTAAAGTAACAAGACTAGCTAAAAGTTAAAAATACCAAAACGGTAGCAAAAAATAACAACAGTTACTAATGGCTAAAAGTAGCAAAACAGCAGCTAAACGCTAAATGTATCAGAATGGTGGCTATATGTGCTAAAAGAAGCAAAATAGTAGCTAAAAATAGGGGGAAAAAACTGTTTAAGGCTAAAATTAAAGCAGTAGCTAAAAGGAGCACCACAGTAGCTAAAAGCCGAATGCATCAGAATAGTAGCTAAAAGTAGCTAAACAACTGAAAGTAGCAAAACAGCTGCTTAAAAGTAGCAAAAGAAAAACAGCTAGTCGCTGAAGCGGATTTCAAATAATTTTTTGAAGAAAATTTAAAGACAATGTATTTCTGTGGAAATTATTTAAAAAATAAAGTTAGATATTTTTAAAGTGTGCATGGGTTTTTTTCCATTTACCCTTTATTTATACAGGTTTAAATAATGTTTATTAAGAAGTTATTTATAAGTTACAAACACCAAGTGAACTCACTCATCTACCAAATGAGCTGAACTTTGATTTATGAACAGAATGAAAACACAGAATCTGCAGAAGTTGTGAAGAACAAAGAGAAAATGATAAATGGAAACCATGAGTATTAATTTAACATTCACACATAATTATAAAGTCTTCTTTGTATTTAGACGAGTCAGAGCATCAGCTGGTTGTTTAAAAACATCCGGATCAGTCAGATCTGTTGTAGGACTGATCGTCTAGTTTTCACATTTTAATCCTTCACTTTGTAAAAAGTCTGTTCTTCTTTCACTTCGTGTCTCTGGTGTTTTGAAGAGTTTCCTGTTCTCTGCTGCAGAGGAGCTCAAATTAAATCTTCTTCTGAGTCTCAACAACAGAAACATGATGAAGTTCAGTCCAACTTACCCGAACCTTTCCCCAGGAGGAGTGCTGCTGGCTTCAGACGGTCAGAACATGAACAGAACCCCACCGAACGGTTCTGGTCCTCCCCATGAAAGAAAAAGAGAACTGTCAGCAGGATGTAATTACAGCTCTCTGTCTTTGCTGTTTTCCTGCAGCCCTTCCTTCCTCGGAACAAACAAAGCAGATGACTGGGCCACAGAACCAGTCCGAACAGACCTGGATAGAAAGAGCGCTGAGAAACCTCCAAACCCGGAACACAGGACCGATTACCTGTTTGTGCCACACCTCACCTCACCTGAGGTCCGTGACGTCACACGGCAGTGCTCCTTCATGAGAAGAGGAACGAACAAAATAAAATACATTTAAAAAATAAAAATGAGAAACGAACACACAGAGGACCATCTCAGTTTCAGATTTGACCTACATCCGACCGATCCAAATGACCAAAATCCAGATTAAAATCTGTAATACCTAAAAACCACAAGATGGCGCCAGAGCCCATTGATTCATTCCGTCTGTGGTTTCCTGTTCTACCGGTAAATTGTCTAATTGAAGTCTTTTATTTATTTATTAATTTCTCTTCTAATTAAAACATTAGGTGTCATTTTAATTTATCAATCCTATTTAATACAACTACTTAAAGTGTGTTTACATGAAAGTAACACCACATGTCTGTTAGCAAAATTGCTTGTGAACCAGTAAATAAAATGTTAAAACTTCTAGAAATATACAACTTAAGACTTTGAGTTGCCCCAATTAAAAAAACAGACAAAAAAACCTTAAAAACATCTATAATTTAGTTAATTTTACAAATATTTACCAAACGCTTGATGTGACAGTAGCTTAGACTGCGCCCAATCACATATTCTGACTATTTATGAATTGTGCAAGATCAGTTTTAAGTTTCACCAATAATTATTTGTCTGTTAGCAAAATAATCATGAAAAATTGGAGATTTGAATAAAACTGGCAGATGTAGAACTACCTTGATTGACTTTTAGCATCAAACCAATTCAAGATGGCTGACATTACTTATCAAAATGAGTCAAAAATGGCTTTAACTCAGTCCAATTACAAATATTGAACTCAAATTTGATGATTCAGCAAACATTTCTCAAAGATCTTGCATCAGATTGGGCATAGTAAGATTTTAATCAAGAATATTTAAAATGCTGTTTCTCAACACTCAACGATTTGTTTTAAATGTTAATATGAAGGGTGGACCATAAATGTCACCTGACCAGGTGTTGAGATGTTTAGGTCACGTGATTCCAGGTGAAAGACTTGAACAAAAAAAAACTTTTACTTAAAATAAAACCACTTGAATATGGGCTGTAGTTACGTTATTTCTTATAACTATAAAATATGTTTATGAAACAGTCCGGTGATTAAAAGTGAACACAAGTAATGGTGCAGGTTCCTCAGTGTTTGTTTAAATGTCTAATTCTTTCAGCCTTTAAAGATTCAAACAACAAAATGAACCGGTCAAATGGAAAAAGGAGAAAAAAAAAACATTAAAAACTAAAAGTTTCCACAACTTGTTCTAAAACTAGATGCACGTTCAAAGAGCAAATTAAACATTCATTACAGCACATTTTAGTCACAGAACTTTTATTGTTTTATTCAAAAGGGAGAAAAATCCACGATCTCGGGCAGAGTTGTGAGGGGGGGGCAATGTGAGAAGCAGGAGCCTTTAAATATTAATCTTACGGTACTGCTGGGACGTTCTACAGAACCATCACAAGCCAGTGAGCTTTTTCTACAGCGGCAGCAAAACAAAAGAAAAATATATTTAAACATTTGCTTTTTCCAAGATGGCTGATAAAAACATATAGACAATAAGTAGGGGGGTGGGGGGGTTACAGAATTTAATGTTCTGATTGTTCCAATTGTTTGGCCAGCAGCAGAGGTTTGGAGGTAAGGAACATTTTTTGGGGATTAAAACTCAATAAACCATGGCACCCAAACTGAGCAGGGAGGAAGGGAACGGGGGAGATAAAAATTAAATCAAAAAGGAGGAGGCGGAAGAAGAGCAGCCGTCGTGTGAGAGAAGTTCAGGATCACAGCGATGTCGGCTCAGGAGACGTCTGAAACGACAACATCCGACAAACTCAGCTCGTCCTTTCAAAGCAACCAATCGTGTCTGAGGGGAACTTACAACTCGCAGGACGAGCTCCGTATCTTCGCATGATCTGGTCTTGCGTAAATTTCACAAAAGATTCATATTGTTCTGGTGAGAGAGAAAGATGGCGTGCGTTTGGTGAAGAAGTGGAGCAGTTTGAAACAGACAGGCGAGGGAAGGATGCTCCGCGGTCCTTGACAGCTGTTGTGTACGGAGCGTTTAGCTGCGGTCCGTTTGGAAACTAGTCGGATATTTACCTGCGAGTTTTGTGTTAAGGATCTGTTCGTACTCCTCTCGGATCTTCTCCTCGTGGTCTTTGAGCAGGCGCTCGCACAGGTAGCTGACCTGCCTCAGCGTGAACGAGGGCTGGTCCTTCTTTGAGGCACCTGGGAAACATTTAAAATGAATAAATCAGGAAGGCAGAAATGTGTCATCCCTGGAGATCAGTGCCAGCTTCACAGCTCTGCCTTTTTAAATTCAGCACTCGGGTCACGCAGAACTAATGCCGGCAGCCTCTGTGTCTCGGTCACACTGAAACCGGAGCCAGCTTTAGCTTGGTGATTCATCACTTTGTGCTCTTTTTATGTCTGCTCTGAGCCAGGTGGACTCAAATGGGAGTAAATCTCAGCGGTGGATGGAGGAGAGACGCCTAACGGAGAGGCCGGGTCAGTGACGGTGCCGTAGGATGATGTACGGGTTTGTCAGGAGCCTGAAGACCCGGGAGCTTGAGTTACATCTCACACTTTAGTGGGATTTTATGGCTCAAACTTCACTTCTAAAAACGATGCCAAGAAAATAAAACGCAAAAAGCTCAAAGTAGAACATTTATAATATGAGTGGACTTTGTTTGATCAAACCAGCAGCAAAGGATGGCTGAAGCTCTTTTTACATTACCACACCAGATAATTTTCATTCAACCTTTATTGATACAGGTTAGTTTCGTTGAGTCTCGAGGACTCATTTACAAGCGAGACCTGATTTAGACAAAGTAGATTAATGAGTTTCTACTGGTCTCCAGCAGTTATTGCTATGGTTTATTATCTGGGTGTCCAAAAACTTCTTTAAAAAAAGTCTTCAGTTGATCCAAAATGCTGCTGCCAGGGTCTAAACTGGAGTTGGTAGGAGAGATCATGTCTCCAGTTTTAGCTTCTCTCCACTGGCTCCCTGTCAAATCCAGAGTTGAATTCAAAATCAACAAAAATGGTTAAATCATGTCATCTGGACCAGTTTCCTACTTCTAACCTACAAAGCTCTCAACAACCTAGCTCAATCTTATATCACAGATCTTATTGTTCCAGATTTTCCTCACAGAGCACTTCGCTCTCAGACTGCAGGCTTACTTGTGGTTCCTAGAGTTTCCAAAAACAGACTGGGAGGCAGATCTTTTGGTTATCAGACTCCTCTTGTGGAATCAACTTCCAGTTTCTGTCCGTGAGGCTGACACATTGTCCAGTTTTAAGACTTTCCTTTTTGATAAATCCTATAGTTAGTGTTGGCCTGTTATGCTGCTATAGACTTAGGCTACTGGAGGACAAATTGACCTCATTTCCTTAAATGAATTGTTAAAATTGTAGTTTTCATTTGATACTATATCTATCTGAACGTGATTCTGGACCTGCCATTGTGTATCTGTTCCTCCTTCCTGTTCCTCTCAAACCCAGCCGGTCGAAGCAGATGGCGCTTGTCCTGAACCTGGTTCTGCTAAAGGTTTCTTCCTCATGAGGGAGTTTTTCCTTTCCACTGTCGCCTTCATGCTTGCTCAAGATGAGAGTCTGCGATGAAGTTAAACACAAAGCAGTCTGCTGCTTAGATAAATAACGTTAAATTATTTTATATATGAATATTTCTGTTCAGTGCCCTGAGACGACTTCTGGTGTGACTTGGCGCTTTATAAATAAACTGAATTAAATTGAATTGTTCAGCTCTGAGATCTACAACACGGTGCTGGTGAGGTCTGTGTGTCCTACCAGGCGGGGAGCTGGGAGCGTTGAGGGTAGAACTGGGACTGGGGGCGTCACTGGAGCTGCAGGCCTCCGTCTGGTTGAAGGCACCTTCCAGCTGCCGTCGCCTCTGGATCCGGCTGTACTCTTGGCGAAGGTTCTGGAAGATTTGCTCTGGAGGAATCAAGCAGAAACAAAGTTTTGTTTTTTTTAATGTGAGCAAAAAGAAGAGTGTGCAACTTTTTGGATTGTATCTTTAGAAGTATTGTACACGTAGTTTCTGTCCAACACTGTAATCAAAGTACATGAATTAAATCACCGGTCTAATCTTTAATGCGTGTTCTGTGAGCTCAGAGGGTTCATACAATACAGAACAGAAACAGAAAGGCCTAACAGCAGCATCTTCATTCACTGACAGGAAGCAGCCATGTTAAATAAATACAGATGGACAACAGATCACAAACACCTTCTGTGGCCAACACTTTCACTTCTGTTTCAAAGTTGTCGTTTTGTTTAAAAGATAAGCATAAACCCAAGCCAGAGCTGCTGTGAAAGATTCACGCTGAACACAATAAAATCCTCTCCCTCTGAGGTGAACGCTGGGTTTAACCTGCTTCGTGTCCAAAAGCTACAACTTTCAGAAAACGTCAAATGTGTCCAAGCCCTTAATGTTCAAAAGTTAAGATATTTTCATTCTGCTTTATTTCAATATGTTTATAATCTGTAAAATCCCCCAGGTACAAGCCTAAATGAATACATTTGAATGTGTGTGTGTGTAAATGGTAAAATAAGGGATGAAAACAGACGAACCCTGGGAAAACCAGTGCAAAACAACATGGCCTCAAACAATGCAAAGGAGGGACTTTATCCGCCTTCGTTTGTACAGGGAGTAAAGTCTGAGCACCTCTATCTGGGGAGTCGGGCCTCGTTTATCTTGGGTGGGAGGCAGTCCTGCCGTCACTAGACCTCTCAGAGGCTTGATTGGACCGGCAGGGAACACAAGACCTTCACCACGGACGGAGCATTTTAAATAAAAACCCTCATCTTTGTGGATTTGACCCGACTTCTGAAACCCACCAACAGAAACGAAAGACTCTGGCAAACAACCCGGCACAGCAGAGAACATCGTCATAAGCACAACACAGCTAACAAGTTTTAAGTGGCAGCTTTGTTAAACAGCCAGAAACATCACTTAAAAAAAAAAAAAAAAAAAAAAAAAAACAGATTCTGAAGTGTTTTTATTTGCTGATTCAAATCCTCGTTTAAACACTGTTGACAGAAAACACGTGGACAACTGCGACCATCACAAAGCTGTAACTGATCCTGATAGCATCTCTAATTGGAGCGTCACGTTCCAGCAGATAAAAACACGTATTTGCGTGCGAGAGCAACAAAAACACTCAGTAACAAGTCTGCAAAGTCCTAACCGGAGCAGCTTTTTGTCAAGAGGAAGGTTAGAGGTTTGACCCCAGCCCAACCAAACCCAAAACACTTGAGACCAAGTATGAACGTTTGTGGGTGGATAAATATGGTTTTTAGTGTAAAAGCTGAATTGGCAAAGCAAAAACATTCCAACAAGCTGGCTAAAAGTTAGGGTTTTTGTAAAACTTATTTCTGGGGGAGCGTTGTATTAAAAAATAATAATATTAAAATGGAACTGTTGTTAAAACAAACTGCATGAATGGACAAATTTATTATTTTTATTTATTAACCTTTATTTAATGAAGCCAAATTAAACCAAAAAGCTGACCTAAAAACAAACAATGCCAACAAATGAAATGTTGAAGTGAAAGGTTTATATCTGGAGAAATCAGTTTCTTAACGTCACTAATGTGAGCTTAGCGTCGTCCAGTGACAGTAGTTTCTAAAAGAGGAAAGCTGCTTCGCTGCATTTATTATAAATTAACACGGATTTTTCTTCCTAAAATCAAAAAAAAACCTGAGGTAATCTGTCCTCCTGGATTCATCGGACACAATCATGAAACGTGTTTGTAGTCGCGTCACTTCCAGCTCTGCTAGCTGCTGGCAGCTTAACAGTAGGCAGGCATTACTAAAGAATGAGCACCCTGCCACGACCGGCCCAAACGATCAATCACAGAAGCTTCTTGGAGTCAAGGGAGAACCGTAGAAACCTCCATCTGAAAGAATCAGACACAAGCTGCACACTAAATACAAGCAAGCAGACAAATTAGAACTCTGTGCATAAAATCACAGCTAACTTCTTCATTTTACCCTGAAGGAACGAGGGGAGCGGTGGGTTTCAGATGTCAAATGCCTGAAAGTAGATCGTGAAGTAGTCAAGGTCAAGTTGTCCCTGTGTTTTTCATATTAATACTAGTTTGAACACAGTATTAAGGTAAAATGACAAGAATTAGACTTTCCAGTGAGGGTTAACTTGTATTTAAACAGCCCACATCACCTCCCCTCCTTATTTTCTGCCTCACCCGAGCTTCAGGTTTGACCCGTTACTATTAACCATTCATTCAAATACACAAACCCGATGAGGGATTTCCCACTACAGGGGTTCAGTGTTGGTTGCAAGATCATGACTGTTCCTTTTTCTAGTACACACGCTCACATTTTCATTGGACGTCAGTCTCAATAAGCTGCGATCAGCTCTTGATGAAAGCTGCTGTTTGTTCTGACCCAGACAAAACCTGGTCCTACTGTAGCACCAGACACTAGAAAAGGTTTAGGTTTTAGGAAGCACTGGCTCCTAAATCCTCGTCTTGTGCCTGCAGACAAACCTTTCCCCATCAGAAGAAAACGTAACTGTGTAGAGCAACAGGGAGGACAGCTGATGTTCAAACGACACAAAAATGCTCTCAGCAAACCACATCAGAAAGGTTTACAGCAGCGCTCCCACGTTGGGTGACCCCTACAATAAAGATCATCCTAATACCAGTTAACTGGACGTCATATTTAGAGCATACAAACCACTAAGACTTAAAACTTTGTAGCTGTTGTGCTCTAATGCAGCTGGACAGGCTGAAATGAAACACTCAAGAGGCTTGATGGATTCACAACAGAGTTCATCTAAATCTGCATGTGGACCGTCACATCAATCTGAGCAAACCCAACAGACTGAATCATAAAATAGACGCATAATAAACAGCAGTAGGCAAACAAAACAAAAAAAGCACGATTGAACAAAGTGTGAACATTAACAGGTCAAAAAATAAGTACAGTACTCAGCTTCAGGATCAACATAACCCTCGGAAACCATATGTCCATAACTCACCATCAATTAAAAGATATTTCACATTTTTTAGGCGTTTACAGTTGATATTCTAAAACAAATACACACTAAATTTTGTTTCAGAGTATGGAATAAAGAGATAGAGCTACGTGGTTATTCAAAGATTGTATTTTACAAAGTTTACAGCTACGACCCAAACAATCGGTACAACCCAGACAGAGAGAGGAGAGCTAAAGTTAGCATCACCACACCCGACCCTTCGACATGAAAACAAGTCAGCAGATATCGCTTTTTAGCTGTTCATACACCTGTGTAGGTGGTGTTCATAGAAAGCCTGTGAAGTCTGCGTTGCAGCAGCTGGATGTCGATGGCTGAACGCTGATCAGACGAACAGTGAAAAAATAAAGGACGAAAGATACGAGGGACGTCCTGTTCAAGTTTACACTGAATTTACTGAAATACTTAGCACCAGCAAACTGGTTGACCCACTTTGTGAAGGGGCTATTTATAAGACTGAGTTTGTTGTGGCTCCTCAGACTGATGAAGTCTTTTGGATGAAAGACGAAACATTTCAACAAAAAAGAAAAAACATCCAGAGGATCTGACTTAACTTTGTTAGATGTTTTACCTGGATTATTGAGCATGAACTTTGATGTTACTGAAATAGTTTTAGCTTCACATTGGAAGCACGTTTATTGTACAAAAAGGGCCGTTTCTGTCACACGAAGAACTTTATTTTAGGTGACAGGGCCTTCTCTGTAGCAGGACCAAGACTTTGGAACGAGTTACCTCTGCTTGTCAGACTGGTCCCCTCCCTCTCGGTTTTCAAATCCCGTTTAAAAACCCACGTCATATTTATTATCTGCATTGTTTTTATGTCTATATTTTGATTTACTTTATTTTGTATATTGCTTTATGTGATACCTGTTGTTCTGTCTGTACAGCACTTTGGTTGGCCTTGTCGCTGTTTTAAGTGCTCTATAAATAAAATGGTATGGTATTGACCAAGATTATATTTTTCCCCCAATTTAGTGAATTCTGTTTAAAATAGAATAAGACCATTTTTAGGTTGAACTGATTTTGAACAGCCAACTGCAATAGAAATGTTAGTTTCACTTAAAAATGGTGTCTTGTAAACAAGGTCCAAGTGAACTTTCAACAATGCCCAGACATTTCCTGTTTCTAAAGGATAAAAAATAATTGTTAATGTAAGGTTTGTTCTAACTCAGTCATGGTAAGATAAGGGCCCGAGGGCCCAAAGTGGTCCGTGGACGATCCTGCTCTGGCCCCATCCATCCATTATCTTTACCTGCGTCTTCCTTTTTGGGCTGCAGGGATCACTGGTGCCCATGTTCAGCTATGACTGCGCGAGGTGCAGGACACCCTGGACAGGTCTCCAGTCCATCACAGGGTCACATTGAGACAAAGAACCATTCACTGTCTCACTCACACCTAGGGACAATTTAGAGTTACCAGTCAGCCTAACATGCATGTTTTTGGTCTGTCGGAGGAAACCAAAGTACCTGGAGAAGACGCACATGCATGAAGAGAACATGCAAACTCCACCCAGAAAGGCCCCCAGACCAGGATTTAAACCGGGGCAACCTGCTTGCTGAGAGGCAGCAGCTCTACCAACTTGGCCACCATGATGCCCTCGATCTGGCCCCCATAATCCTTAAATGAAAACTAACTTTAAAGAATTTGATGAAAACCAGCATTTTATAGATTAAATTTAAGGAAGTCTAAATGTAACATCCTGGACAAATACATCAAAAGCCTGTTGATTAAGATGGGCTAAAACTTTTTTTTTAAGTTGCGTTTCCACAAACCACAGTACACTTGAAACTTAAAAACTACAAAAAGCAAACTGTAGTTGTTGTTTTTTTCTCCATATTGAAATGACTGGTAACCAATATATTGTCACAAGAGGCAGTTTACAGAAAGTATGTTTAATATTCCTAAAGATTATTGGAGAGACCTATTTTATTTAGCCTGCTATGCTACAACAAGAAAAGCCTGAAAATGGTTAAGAGCATTTTCTCCATTTCTCTTCGATTGCTTTAAATGTCTTGATTTGGACCTCAGGGGAAAGAAAATGTTGCCCGTCCCTGTTCTAAATGATAAAAGTATCTGAATTACCTTGAAGGGACTTTTACAGAACAATCAGGGAATTTAAAAAACACCTGACCTGAGTCAATTTAAAGGCTAAAGGATACTTTTCCCTTAAGTGATGCTTTGCCAGTAAACAGGAACTACAAGCATCTGTGCCTTTCGGATCCAGAGCCAAAATGGAAGGCAACGCTCACAAAACCCATCTGTATTACTACAGAAATTAGTTTTAAACCATGGAAGATAGTGGAGCCTTTAACCGCTTTTTTATTTATTTTCTAAGGAATGACAAGGATGCACAATAATGTCTAACAGGATTTTTTTTTTTTTTTTTTGACAACCCACAAGGATCAGGCCTCACCACTGCCAAAACCCTGGCACATACAATAAGCCATTGAACTGCAGGCGAGATCTCCAAGTGATAATTCTGTGTCTACTTGAATATTCCTAAAGTGCTCGCAGTGGAAATGCATGTTGCAGTCAATGGCAGAATGCAGGGAATAAACAAAGGAAATTAACAATAGCTTTCAGTGCTGTGGAGGAAAGAAATTGTGGAGGATAATGATAGCCCCCACCTAAATGGAGCCAACAGGCAGCATGAAGAGGCTGCTGCTGTGATGCCATTTGTCTTCTGCAGACCCGACAGATTACATTGTTAGCTGTTTAAATATCTATGCAGGATCTTCTGTTGCCCCTAATCACTTTTCAAATTAAGCATAATCAAAGAATTTAATTAGCTATGAGGCATAGCTGAAGATTAGGTAAAGCTGATGAGGGAAGTCAGGGCTGGAAAAGGTAAGTAGTGATATTTACCAAAGCAGACCCACGTTAGCTAGCACAGGCTAACCCAGGCAAGTGCTAATAGTTGGCAGCATGCCACTGACAGATACCTAAAGACGCGTTTTTACTTTAATAATTGTCAGACGACGTTAAGTTATCATCGACATTCCTCTTCCTGACATTAGCTAACGCTTAGCCTCCAACCCCCATTCTGATTCTTTCCATTTCACTCCACCCAAACCCCCTCCCCCATGACACCCACCCCAAAACGCAGGAAGAAGAAAAAAGGGAAACGGGTCAAATTCAGATTTATACCTGGGGTGAGCCTGTGTTCGCCTCCGACGGGTTGAGGGGACATCGAATGTGCCGGGCTGTCGACTGGGGTACGGAGGTTGCATCTCTGCGGGGACGGAGCGCTCTGAGTCCCCGGTAGCGGGTTGCACCTTCTCCGCTTGGGAGACTGGGGACTGAGGAGGGCCTCGAACTCCATCGACCGCTTTAACGTAGCACCGCAAGCCATGTTAGCTAAACAAAACCGGCAAAAGTAGGGTGGAGGGGAAAATAAAATAAAACACCGGCGATAGTTGGGTTTAACGCTCCCTTTTGAATGCTTAACGTGCCTCCTTGAGTTTCCTCTCGTACTCTCTTCCCCTCCACAACAACGGATTTTCTTCTCTGAGTAGTAAAAGCCCAACGGCCGACCTGCTGAATATTTGAAACGTCACAATGCAGACCATACCATTGTAGAACAAAAGAGGGGGGGTCAATATTTTCAACAATGAAATTAAGATTTATCACTACTCTAATGTTAAATTCGTATATATAATATAGTCTTATAAACATAATATATCATAATTTTCTAAAATACATTTATTTTAGATGTTCTATCAAAGCGGCTTGGTTTGCAACTTCCGGCCGTGCAACCCCCGGAGATTTTAGTTGAACCAAAGACTACATCGACGTTGAACTCAAAATGAGGGTTCACGAGACGTCTGGTGGCGGTGGTCAGTCAGCCAGGGATTAATAAAGTATATTTCTATTTTATTTGTTGAGAATAGTTGTTTGAGTGTTGTGTGTAAATATGAGTGACACATTTTACAGATTATAAGCAATATAATTTATTTGGCTGTATCATGTATGATACAGTATGATATAGTATCTGTATCTACCTTACCATCATATTTCATTTCATATCAATGTCATTCACTACCTGTGCAATAATCTGTCACACAACCTGTGTAGTACTGTATATATTAGTTATGTGCAATATATATCATGTGCATTTTAGCTTATACTGTATTACTACCTTGAAATACTTATTCATACAAATTCATCCTACTTGCACTGTTATATTCTACCATGCTGTTGTTTACTATCTCTCTTTAGGACCTTGTAAATATTATAATTACTTTTTCACTTTTTGGTACTTTATTTTATTGCATGCTTTAGTATTTTTCTTGTTTGTTTGTTCTTTGTTTTTCGTGAGTCAAATCAGTTCTTCTCATCCTGAGCATTTCATTGTATACCTTGTGTTAACCTGCATTCGACAAATAAACATAACTTAAACTTGAACTATTTAACCAAAATGTGATACAAAATGTCCACACAGAGATGTAAAATAAATATTTAAAAGTTAGACTTAAAATGATCCAAATATTAAAAAAAAAAAAAAAAAATCTAAGAATAGTTTGTATGTTTTCCACCTCTAAAATAAGTGGCTTGCTATCATTATAATCCATCAACGTTTCAGTGTGATGTTACATTTTAATCTTCTTTAAGAAAAAGCAGATTTTTATTATCTATTTACCCCCTTTTAACAAGCAGTGGCCACTTATGAAAATATGTGTTTTGTTCTGCACATTAAAAATACTCTTCTTATTTTTTTCTTCATGAATATTCATGAAATAAAATAGATTGTAAAATGAGATAAACTAAATAAATGTGCTAAATATTTTATGTGTTTTGTGGCTTCAAATTGGATGTTCATCCACAAATAAGCAATAAAGAACAGTGAAAATTAAAAAAAAATATTTGCATTCCTGCGTACATTTAGTTTCTTTACAGTTTACATCAGTGACACAAATTATTCCAGGTGTTGAAAACTTCAAAAGTTATTTATTTATCATTTGCTCATTGTACAAAATATTCTAATACAACATTGCAAACATTACGTTTACTTGAAGTATTTTACAGATTCGTTTTTAAATATAAATCCAACAAAAATCAACAGGCGCACGTGAAAAATAAAGGCACGCAAACAAAGTTTCAAAATGACAAAATGTCAAAAATTTTGAAGGAAATAAAAACATTTTCAAAATCCTGAAGTTCACATGAAGAAAATAGCTGTTGAGTTGTCCTTTTATGGCACATATACTTTAAACATTTGTGCGTATGGCAGCGAAAGTAAAGATAAAGAAAATTTAGCGCACCACAAAATCCTTTGAACCTTATTTTGTATTTCTTAATGACAGCTATGATCTGATTTATAATAATAATAATAATAATAGCACATTCTATATCTAAAAAGAATGTGTCAGGTCGGGTTCAAAACTTTTAGTCTTGACTGAAAAAGTCTTTTGGATGAACGACAAAACATTTCAGTAACGAAGAACCTGTCCAAAGGACCTGACTCAACATGCTTATCCACCTGGACGATTGAGCATCATTAGGCCTGTCACGATAACAAATTTTGCTGGGCGATAAATTGTCTCAGAAATTATTGTGATAAACGATAATATTGATTGAAATTTGACAATGATTAGTAATTAATGTCAAATTTAAGAAGAAATTTTGGTTAATTTGTTTTGCATGTAGTACCTTTTTCCAACCACCGGATGGCAGTATAAGACTGTTTGAACCAAAGGATGGATAGTGAGGGAGCGAGCTGCGTTACTCTTCAAGAAAAATGGGAAGGAGGCCTCTTGACGTGACTTGGGCTGTCTCTTTCCTTCTTTTATTCGGTTCTCAAAATGGCAGATGCTCAGTGTGGTTCGAGCTCTTTAGCATAGCATTTGTCACACAAAGCTTTTAATAAAAAAAATCAGTAAACAAGTTCTCAGCTTCTTTTTGCAGAGAAAAACAACTTTTTACATGAAGACACGAGTTTCAATCGTGAATTTTGGAGCTTCGACAAGACGGAGGTTTGTTGCCGAGGTCGGCCTGTTAGCTTAGCTCGTAGCCTAGCTTCGCAGCTTAACTTCTCTTAACGATCCAAAAAATGCAATTTTGGATCGTTAAAACTGATTTTAAAGAGAAAGGGGTCAGTGAAGAGCACCGGAGTTGAGCTTTTTGTCATCCAATGTCTTCAGCAGAAAGAGAGAGACGAAGAAACGACAAAGCCGATAAATGAAAATGAGGTCAATAATTTTCATTTATCGTGCGATTAATTGATTAATTGATTTATTGTTTATCGCGACAGGCCTACGCATCATGGTCACACTGTATAACAGGTTTAAAGTCAAACAGGGTGTGCTCAATTTTTTTCTATTCTGTCCATGTGATAGCTTCAAAAGAATACATTCATATATATTTCATCTTTGCCCGCTTTTCCTTTCCAGGTCACGTGGGTCACTGGTGCCCATGTCCTTCAAGAGACAAGGTACATCCAACATCGCAAACCATGACGGGGCCTTCAAAAATTATAAAGTCCTCAACCGAACAAGTGCTTTAAACTTATTTTCCCAAGTGATTGTCTTGGCTCTGCCACAGATGTTGCTCTTAAAAGGACTGTTCCAGTGCCTGTGCTTACAGTTTTGTGGATCCATTCAGCTCAATGCACGGCTTGAATTCATATGGTGAGCTTTGTGCAAAATGGTCATGTGCACAGGCCTTTTGTGGAGGGCAGGCATTCATGTGCAGATGGTACCGGCAACCAGGAGGGTCCTCTGTATTTATGTGAAGACAGAATACAATCAGATACAAAGACGACATCTGTAAGTACACCTGTGTGGCAAATAAAGTACGTTGATGTCTCAACAACATGTTAAAGCACTTAAAATAAGCCAGAGAGAGCTCATAACAACAAATACAAAATGATTTAATGATTTAGCGCCAGATATGGCTTTTAATTTCTTTTAACATGGTACTTAAAGTTTAAAAAAAAGGGAACCAAAAATTAAACTCTATATATTTCTTCTTGTTGCCAGTAAATAACATCATCTACATGTTTTGAACTAAAATAGTCCTAACCTTTTATGTTGGCAGAAACAAAACTCCGATAATAGCTTTTTTTAAACTTGGCGCTGACATTTACAAATTTAATATAAGTGACATTGTTCAGGCAGCATGCAAATTTCTGTCTTTGAACCAATTATTGCACTCCAAAAAACAAAACAGATGTGCATTAAGATTCATCTTTGAAATATTTTTACGTATTAGTCAGAATCAACAGTGAAGGTTCACGCTATCGGACAATACAGATTGTCTTTGTTCCAACATTTGTTATATATGTTTGATAGCGAAATATTTTAGTCAAACTTAAGGTCCTGTATTTGCTTTAAAAATGCAATTTGACACTTAGAACAAAATAATATGTTTTTGTTTGAAACAGTGCAGAAAACTTACAAGTCTTCCAGTGGATCTATGTTTCAGTGCATTATCTCAAATGCACTTAAAAAAAACTCCTTTAGTCCCGTTTGTATCACACAAATGCGTGCACAGCGTGTTTTGATATAATGACATATTGAAACAGCAAACAAAAAGTAAAAAATTATATTAAGTGATGTTATGAATGTGAAAAAGTTGAGAAGAATTAATATTGTCTCCTAACAAGTATTTTAAATCTCATAGTTGTTCAAATCCAAGCAAAAAAAAAAAAAAAAAAAAACACATTTGAAAGGTTTTAAAACTAAAACAATCATTTAACACCCAGTTATTAATCAATATTGATGCTCTTGGTGATATTATGACCCGTTTATTGGTTCTCCTTCATGTCAGTCATCCACCATCTTTATTTTTCATTTTGTTCACCACAAGTCAGGTGGATCTTCCCCTGGAGAACTCCTCATCAGTAACCGAGTTGTTTTCTACAGAATATATCCTAAGGTTTGAGTCTCCAGTGGATTTCTTGCACTTCCCCAGTTCCCACAGCCATCGTAAAGACTGTTGGAGAGCCAGTCTTAGCTCTCTGCACCGCAGGGCGTAAAGCAGCGGGTTGACTGCAGAGTTGAGCAGACAAAGGGTGCTGCAAAAAGCAAAAGCTCTCTGTTGGGTAGTAGTCAGGACAGTGGTGACATCAGCCAGCATGAAGGAGAGTACAGGAAGCCAGCAGCCCACCAGTATGAGCAGAATAAAGGCAAAAGTGCGAGCCAGCCGGATATCCATCCTCATATGGTTCGGACCTGTCCCCGCTGCACCCTGGAGGCTGGACAAGGATGATTCGTGGCGGTGGGCCTTCCACAGGATGAGACCATAAGCCCCGAGGATGAGTGCCAGAAGCACCAGGATGAAGCTGGTCCAGCAGACCAGATAGCCCCGGCTAATGTAGGGGAACAGGCGCGAGCAGGGTGGAGTGAGACGTGTGGGACACCTCCAGCCCATAAGCGGCAAGAAGGAGATGATGATGGTGATACTCCAGAGAACCAGAAGGCTCAGGAGGGCTCGGCGGCGTGTCAGTAGAGCCTTGTAACCGGTGGCATGGTAGATGCAGAGGTAGCGGTCCAGAGCAGTGAGCAGTAAGCTCCCCACCGAGTTGGTGAACGCCAGGGTGACTCCACCTAACTTGAAGAGATAAGCATCCTGGCCGTCACTTTGGTGATAGAGGTGAAAAAACAGGAAGCTGGTGGTGAAAAAGCAGCTGGCGAAGACATCAGCTAAAGCTAGGCTACCGATGAAGAGATAGGAGGGCCGCTGTCGCAGGTTGACTGTGGTGCCAATGACCACCAGAACCAGAACGTTTTCCATCAGGGTGATTGGACCGGCCAGGAAACATATGGAGCCGATGGCCGTCCTTTCTGCTTCTGTCAGGACCATGTAGCAATCCAGGTTCTCGCACGACCCGTTAGCTGTGGAAGATACAAAAGTGTGAAAAAGTCTGACGAGTGGATCACTGAGCTAAAGGACATGATCATCAAAAACATTCATGGTGTTGTACCCATTGATGATGAGGTGTCTTTGACTTCTGCAGGATCTGAAGATGTTGGAGCCTCACGATTCCATTTCACTCAAAACCGAGTGCAAAATCTGATCAAAGGTAATAAACATTTTAGTGTTTGAATGTATTCACAAACGGAACTTAGTTAAAAAACTGCATTTGATAATTTGGTCAAATAAATCCAGTACTTCTCTTCGATTCTGATTATTCCATTTGACATCAAGACGATGAAACCAGCAACTTCCTGTGGAAAAGGAAATGAAGACAATGATGCAATTGCTCTTTCCTGCTTGCTCAATATTTATTCTGGAGCTAAAAAGAAACGTTAATGTTTGAAAGTGAAGACGAACGTTGAACGATGATCACTTGATGGGTGTGCCAGAAGGACGGCTGTCTGAATTTAAAGTGAGCCGAGAACCAATTCATGCTGAAGGCACAACTTATTTTTAACCTTTCTAAGAGCTTCATCTCTGTGTCTGTCATGTAGAAACAGTTTATCCAATTAGCTTCATTTTGAACACTTTGTAGTGCATGTTTAGATCTATTGAATGCTGAAGCAGCTGGAGAGACGTATCTGCAACCTCTGAGTTGCACAAAAATGTCTTAATCCTTCATTATTATGTGATAATTTTTCATAAGTAAACTAATAGTAATAAGTAATTTTGCTATGTTGTTAAAGACACAAGACAGAATGTCAGCCTGTACATTTGCATGATGGCTGCCCTCTTCTGGAGATAGAGGAAACTGTTTAAAGGGTAGAGCAGGGGTCTGCAGTCTGCCGCTCTGGAGCCACATGTGGCTCTTTGGTCCCTTCACAGCAGCTCTGTCGCTTTGACCAAAACTAACATAAAACTGACATTTTTTTTTAGGATGTTATATCCACAAAAGACTAGTTTTACCAGTTTTCCTGTCAATTCCTTTGCAAATATGTGGATACTAGTACTAATATACCGAGTAAATTATACTCCCTTTAACTTTATGCTTTATTTCTTCAAAGTAAGATACTCAATTATTCCACAGTTTAAAAAAAAATGCATAAGCCTGCACAGTTCATAGTTTTTTTTTTTATTATTTTTTATTGGCTATATATATATATATATATATATATATATATATATGTTTTAAGAATCCAGTCTTCTGTGATAGACTTGTAACCTGGATATGGGCACCAGTGACTCCCTGCAACCCGAAAAGGAAGAAACGCAAAAAGACAATGGATGGATGGAATCTATTTTTTTCTTTTGTCTTAAACTGTAAAAATATCAATAAATGTTAACAATCATTGGATGTTTTTAGTTTTATAATGTCATACGTACAGGCTAAAAAAGCCCCCTCTAACAAACTTAAAGTGGCCCATGGGCCACCACTTGATAATGACAATTGTAGCAGGTTTTGCGACTCTGGACACGTTTAATTTAGAGAAAGAAAGGGCAGAAATGGCTCTTTTGATCATAAAGGTCGCAGACCCCTGGGGTAGAGGATGATTAGCCATACCGTAAAGCAGGAGTTCTCAAACTTTTTAGGGTTCAGTGACCTCCTCACAACCCTCATGTTTATTAAATTATTTACTTCAATTAGTCTGTTTAATGCAATGGAAATATTTGTGCAATATAAATACACAAGACCTGTTCTATAATAGTGTTAATGCAATTTTCATACTTTTAAACATGGGGTGTTTTTCATTCAAGACGCACTGAATTAAAACAATAATAATTTCATTTTCCAAAAATTACAGTTTTGAGAAAATTAACAGTATCAAAAACACTTAAAAACGTTACCTTTTCACACAATGAACATAATAACTGGATCACCACTTCTTCAAATTATTACAGAAAACTATTTATATAAAATTGAAAAGAATCATAACAGCAGCAGTCATTCCAAGTAACAGGACTTAATTTGTAAACTGATCAATGCCAGAACGCAAATAGCAGGTTGGTCGGGGGGGGGGGGGTCCTCCCCCAGAAGTACCAGTAGCTGTGATTTCCTGCATTTGGTTTATTTTAACATTGCTAAACATCTACGTGCTTGTAAATTTTATTTTATTTTTTTGCAGACCCCCGGGGATCCAGGAACCCAGTTTGAGAGCCACTGCCTTAGAGTGTACCATTAATACATGAAACCATCTGCTGTGTTGGTTTTGTTTTATTCTGAAGAAGCCTGGATTTCATGACAGAAGAACCTGAGGATTCCTCTCAGCGACCTCACCAAATTGTAGCCAAATATGTTTAAAAATGGCCGAGTGAACCCACTTTTGTATTAGCTTTGGTAACCATCTTGATTTTTTGATTAGTATTCAGCATATGTCAACTACTACCACACCAAATTTAAGCTCAGTATGATAGAGTTGTACTTTTTTATGAGCTTTGGTGGCCATCTTTAATTTTTGATGAGAGTTCTGTCCACTGAGGAGTTGCTCCGCTAAAGATGTGCTCATTCTGCCATTTGTTGCAATCAAGTCACATGACTTTTCAACATCCACAGCGTTGTATAAAGTACCTCAAAGGGACACTTCAGTGAAAGTACAAGTATCTTACCATAAAATTACTTTGGTAAAAGTTAAAGTTTCCTTTCAAATTATTACTTAAGTAAAAGTCTTAAAGTATCGGACATTTAATGTATTTAAGTATCAAAAGTAAATTTCTCTTCTAAAATGTACTTAATGTAAGAGTAATAAGTCAAAGGTTAGAATTTCCAAAACAACATTTATTGGGTACAATATCCAGTGACAAAAACTTGAAAAGTTTGAACTGAACAATGAAAGATTGCTCTTTAAAAAGTCTGATTCTAATGAAGTATATTCATTCAACCTTTATTAACAAAGCTGTTAGAAAGCTCACAGGCTTGTTTACTGAGCTAGCTTCTGTTTGGTTATGGCTTGTTTCTTTCTGAATAATTAATAATATAGAATAGTTTAAAACAGTTCATGTCCTGGAGAACACCAAACTTCTCATTTTTAGCAGCTCCCGTCATTTTCACACCTATCAGGAATGTGTCTCCACTGTGAGTCAACAAAGCTCTATTGTAACGAATACTATCTGCATATGCATCTAGTTTGTTCACAGCTGGAGCTGCAGGTTTCACACAAGCCGTGGGGGAGAGGCTGGTAGACTGGGAGAACAAACACACATTGCCCAATCAGATTTCTTCTCATTTTAAATTGTAGTAACTAGTATGGTTAAGAGAAATGTATTGAAGTAAAAGTACACATTTTATTGAGGAAATGTAGTGAAGTAAAAGTGAAAGGCACTAGAAATGTAAATAACGAGGTAAAGTAAAAATATGTCAAAATTCTACTTAAGTACAGTAACGAAGTATTTCTACTTTGTTACATTACAACACTGAACATCCATCGTTCCATCTTTTTTTCTATGCACCTGCTTAACATCTGATGTCATTCAGGTTATTTTACTTTTTCAGAAGCTCAAATAAAACTTACAAGAAGAAAATAGTTTTCAAATTTTTCCAACATGTTATTATTTTTTGAGCAACTGGAAGTTGGTGTAATGTTTTAATCTAATTGATTTATGTCTCCATTGTTCAAATATCTTTTTCAGCTCTATTTCCATTTGGAAAATGCGTACTGTGTTGGCAAATAAAAAAATATTAGATTACTTTCTAGTGAACACCTTATATTTCCTAAGTACCGTGCAGTATATTGGGTAAATGGGCTGAAGAACTGTGAATGTTACAACACGTCCAGTTTTGCTACTCTATGGTGAAACAGTTTCTGACAGCCCTCACTTCAGAACCTTCTGTCCATACAAAAACAGATTTGCCTGCAGGGATGTGCACCTAAAACCTAATTTAAAGATTAAAAACGTTCATTTGGTCATTCCATTTTTGGCAAACACGCTGAAATACAATCTGCCAATCACTTCTTGCTCCCTGTCAAGATGTTTCAAAATAAGCTGTGCCATAAAAAGAAGGAAAATCATTGCTTGAAGACATTTTTTTAATAATAATGGCACAAAAAAATACAATAACTATGTTGAAAATAGTAGATCTACCATCAAGCTGCACAAAATATACTCATCAAACACATTTTAGACTTCACTTATGCTTCTTTCATCTAAAATCAATGTTGCATGACAGCGACAGCTCAAAGGTAATGAAAGCTTTACAGCATCTCTCTGGAGAACACTAAAACAAACAAACAAACAAACAAACAGATTTTTAGCAGCTTACCTTGCAGTTTATTCTTGCTTGGTTCAGGAGAAATGATTTACTGACGTTATCAGAAGCAGAACAACTGTAATGTGACCGCACAAGCGTGATTGGTGGCAAAACGGGCATGTGCGTGCGTGTGTGTGTGTGTGTGTGAGTGTATAAGGGAAGAAGATAAGCAGAGTGTGGCCACGATAACACGAGAGGAGGAGAGCAGTCAAAAATGCACAAATTTCTATGTTTGACGTAGTTACAGCTAAAGCACATCAGATTTGTAGACGTTTTTTGTGTTAGCTGAGGTTGATTAACTGCGGCAACCATCTTGCGTTAAGTTGACTTCCAAAGGTTAATCAGAGGTTTACATTTCTAATGGTTTTTAGGATATTTTGTTAACAGATAGAGTTGACTTGTGGAATCAATTAGTGCTTAAAGTATAAGTTAGGCATGACTTTTTTCTATAATGTGCCAAATTTTAGCTCATTATCTGAAAATATTGACTGAGTCACAGCCATTTTTATTAGCTCAGGTGGTTTTGTTGTTGTGGTCATCTTAAATAGGGTTGACTCTAAACTTAATAAGCTGTAGCTGTTCACCCTTTCACCTACAGTGGTGGGAAGTAACCAGTTTATGTTCATATGTGTCACAACAGGGAACAGGAGTGAAGCCACTAACCCAATTAAAAGCTGTGGTGTTAGGGGTAATGGTTTCTGGCAATCGTTGCTGAGGACTTCATGAAATACACCGTGGTCATAGCTTTTCCTCTGACTTCACTGTTTCCAGTTTCAGAGATTCAGAGAGATTTATTTGTCATTCGCATCTCATGTGGTACATGTGGTGGAACAAGATTATGTACACAGAGTCCCAGTTACATCCAACAATAAAATGTAAAAGAAAAACAGTAATACGATCTAAGATATGAACTAAGAAAAACTTCAACTAAATAATACATTAAGCACTAATAGCATAAAAACATTACATCGAACAGCAGCACGAACATGAGACTGTGTGAGCAGATGAGCACGCATGAACACAGCAACATGAAACAGATCAGCAGCAACATGAAACAGATCAGCAGCAACATGATGTGATTTTTCACAGTGATTATCCTGGTTAGATATTCATGAGTTTAACAGTCTCAGGGTAGAAGCTGTTTCTCAGTCTAGTGGTTCTACACTAATGCTCCTTAACCTCCTTCCTGAGGGGAGCGGGACAAAAATTGTATGTGCTGGGTGAGTGGGGTCCTTCGTGATGCAGGTGGCTCTCTTCCTGCGTCTGAAGGTGTAAATGTCTGTGATGGTGGGGAGGCTGACTACAACAGAATTCTGTGCAGCCTTCACCACTCTCTGCAAAGCTTTTCTTTCTGCTGTGCAGCCTCAATGCCACACGTTGATGCTGGAGCACAGGATGCTCTCCACTGCCCACCTGTAGAACGAGGTGAGGACTGAGCTTTTCAGACCAGCTCGTCTCAGACGCATGAGGAAGTAGAGTCTCTGATGAGCTTTTTTGATCAGGCTGGTGGTGTTGTTGCCCCAGCTGGGGTTGTCATTCATGTGTACACCCAAGTACTTGTAGCTGGAGACCACTTCCACCACAGATCCTCAGGGGGTGTAGGTGTGTTTGTTCCTTCTGAAGTCCACAATCATCTCTTTTGTCTTCTTCACATTGATGTGAAGGTTATTCTCTTTGCACCAGCTCTCCAGGTGTTCCACCTCTTGCCTGTAGCTGGACTCATCATTGTTTGTGATGCATCCCACCACAACTATATCATCTGCAAACTTTACAATTTGACAGCCTGGATGGGTAGCTGCACAATCATACGTGAGCAGAGTAAACAGGAGAGGGCTCAGCACACATCCCTGAGGGGAGCCAGTGCTGAGGGTTATGGTGGAGGAAGAGAAGTTGTGGATCTTCACTGACTGCGGTCTGTTGGTTAAGAAGTCTAGTACCCAGTTGCAAATGGAGGGGCACTTTTTTTTCTTTTTGCACTTTTTGTTGCCACGACCTCACTGTCCACTTGATTACACTGGGGTTCTGGAAATATTCTCTTCTGAACTTTAGTTTCCAGCAGCTTCTTGCCAAGATTGGCTCGACGCCACAGTTCAGCAGCTAATGAATGTTTAGCCTTTTATTTAAGTTATACACTGAGCCAAAATCTTGTGTGGTAGAAGCTGAACCTTGACTTCTTTGTGTAAAGGTTTGGCACTAACATTGGGATTTAAGCATCCATCCATCCATTATCTTTACCCACTTATTCCATTTTGGGTCACGGGGGTCGCCGGTGCCCATGTCCAGCAATCACTGTGCGAGGGGCTGGGTACACCCTGGATGGGTCGCAAGTCCATCACAGGGACACATAGAGACAAACGAGACAAACAACCATTCAC